CAGAAATAGAACATTTTAAGTCATCGTCAAATTTGCAGTCCGCAAGTGCGACCGCCGAAATTTCTGCCCAATTTGTAAGTACCAAGGGTTTGGTAACTAACAACTAGAAAACTTTGATAAAATTGTTATGAGTCCCATAATAGCATAATATGTCAGTATACACATAAAATTTACCACGGATTCCGCTTATGTCAAATGTTAGTCACAACCAAATTATAATACTCGTATCATTTTGCCTAGTAATACTTAGATTGTTTTATTGCTAACCCTGAACAATTAAATCTAAATTGCATCGTCTATGTTTATATATACGTGAAGAACACTTATACCACTGAACTGAGTACATACTGAGTGTATATAACATTCGAACCTTGCTTTACATAAACGGTATAATGTGTCAAACACCCTCATTAAACGAGTGGACACGCAAACACGTTGTTCGAGTGAGAAAACAAAATTTACTACTGTCCGTGATCTTGATCAGCCATGATATGAAAGAAAACCTTTACTTTAGACCCCTCGATGAGTCTTTATTACAAGTCTATTAAAACGACAATATAACCGCATAGAAGATAGTGATTTATTTTCGCAATTTAGTGTTTATATCCATTCGGCGGACGTGTATTACTCAGACCAATGTCTCACTGAGCTCATAAATGCGATTTCTGGCATTTTTTTCTACATCTGAGTCATCGCCAGTCGTTCATTAAAAGTACGAAAAGGTCAGTAAAACAGTGCCGTAAAACGTGAATGTAATATTTAGATCGACTTTGAGCTGAATGGAAGTGCGAATAGTAGTGAACCATCTATCGTCTACTTCTAACCAATTTTTCAATTGGAACTAGTATCCACTACATTTTTATTTTGAAGATACATTGTATATTATATCATAATTTAAACAATAATATATTAGTCTAAAAAATAGTGATGCATACAGACACTCTGCGCTGACAGATGAACTAATTAACAAGCCACAATCAGCGCCCATTAACTGATCAAACAGACGAGCGTAGACGCCATTGCGTTATACCCATCGATATCAAAACAGAGATTAAAAGTATCAACAACTATTTAGTAATAATTCCTAGAAAATGTTGAATATTGTCCTCATCCCGATGACAATGTCCTTATAAAGGTAGAAATTTATAAAACGATGCGATTTACTCGCTGATACAGATTGCACTAATTAGATTCGCTATTTTGTATAACATAATATGAGTGAGTGAACGTAACCACTGATAGAATATCTCGTCTAGTATTTTTAAATGTGACATAGTTAGGCGAAGTTTATACATTGCGTCCCAATAACTTCGGAAATAATAACTTATCATTACCAGAACTTGGTATGGACATTTTATCATGCCGCTCAAAATGGATTCTTTGGGAAACCCGAAGCAAACATGTTTTTGTTTAGTTTCGTAGATTATTTAAAAATTTGCAATATAACTCAAAATAGTTTTTTTTTTAACTTATATCACGTTCAAATTCTAGGTGTGGTGAAATATGTCTACCATTGAAAAGGATGGTACCATGCTAATAGGTTGACCAAATAAACAATTCCCACTCACTTGTACTTTTCACATGCATCTGCAAATCCCACGGTACACCAAGTATTTTTTTTTCAATTGAATGTCAAACTGAATCGACAATCAGCGGGGTATAACAACACTGCAATATCTAGTATTCCACTTTTATCATGTGTGCTTTGTCACGAATCATACAAAAACACAGGAGGAACTAGAAAGAGTTACTGCACAAAGCTTTTGTCTCAAGTGGTCTTTTGATACTTCATATTTAAACAATTGACAGTCTTGAAGTAAGCACGTCTAAAAAATGACAAAATCTTTGGAATGTTGACATAAGGCGTAATATAAATATGTGGCTAGGAATGCGGATCAGGTGACTCAGCGCAAATGAAAAAATGTCTACTGATATGTTGAAATAAAGGGCAAAGATGCAGTGAAACAATCTATTTACATGTCATTTCGGCATTATTGATTAAAAGAACGTGAAAACCCAATACAATGTCAAGTTCACGTTGGCTCATGTCTGTCAGATCGACTTCAGTAATATCGGCGGAATGTCCCCTCCGTTAATGTATGAAAGTCAAAGAAATGGAACGCTTTATTTAAAGCCCCTCCAACGTCGTTGTTGTTCTAGACTGACAGCTCGTCTTTAGTATTTATTGTTGACAAGCTCCTGAGTTCAATGCGGGGTCAACCTATATCTCTAGGGTCATCGCATCCACAGACAGACATTCAAATAAAATACATCTAGCAAGAAGTTGGTTGAAGTGTTCTTTGGCAGAATACGACTTAACGCTGATTTATGCTGATACCCTCCTTGTCACGATATTAGCGATAAATCTCACTCTCGGCTACTTACGTGTACTGCCCCCAGTGGCTGCTCTCTTCCTGTGATAGGTAATATTTCGAATGGACGGTAAGATCACCCAACCGGAGTTCCATGGCTCGAGGGTAAGTTCGTCATTTGATCTACGAGTAATTAAATCATCGTGCGTTCGAATATCGCGTGTGGAAGTACATGTGGAAGTACATGTGGAAGAGTGTCCGGTCATTGACGATTGCGGAATATCGTGTTGTACACGGATTTGCAGAGGCACACATAAGCAAACACATAGAGGCTATCTACAATTATTATCAGATTATGAATATATGTTATAGTTCGCCACAGTTTGCAGGTAGTAATACAATATGTGTACAAATTTAAAAGAACTGAAGAACTGAAGAATGGTGGCCGTTCATCAGCGATAATTATCTAACGTGACAGTTTGTACTCTAAATCTAATTCAAGTTAGTTGCTTGACCTTACTCATTTGGCATGTATATATATCACATCTAAAACTCAAGATTACAATAAATAAATCAGGTATAAAACAAATCCGCCGAAATATCATTAACTCAAAATATTGTCAAGCACAGAAAGATTATCCAATGGAGTACACGTTATATATCGTACTATCTATGGATATCAATTAAACACACACACAAGACTCTCTGTCTTGGTTATACGCGTGACAGGACTCTAGTATTGCGTCATCATTAGTAATTATGAAAAGGCGACAAAATTTAAGTGCTCAGCATGTGTTTGGTCGTTTGGATCGTGGACAGTGTATCGCGCCAATTCCGCACTCATGCTATATTTAAATGGTCGTAGTCGTAACACAATGCCGTGTTTACTGTGGGTCCCACGAGACGTATACGACGTGTGTACAATATGATTTGTTGTGTTTACAGAAAACACGAACACAAATTTCCATCATTAAAGTTGCGTAAATATCGTTAGGTGAGCTAACGTTAAATCCCTGACGCTGAACACCTCAATTGTCGACATAGTCGACCGATCGACAATTTTTCGAAAATAGGGCATGGAGCTCAACAGGTATAGTCTTGTTTGCAGATAGGACAAGTATAGATAAAACGTGTTGACCTCCGTAATACGTCAGTCACCCTCTCGGCTTGCGCATGACCCGCCAGGATTGCCGACAAAGTCGGGCTCTGTCTCATCATGACTGATCGCTAGCGTAGCAAAACAATTCAAGTCTCGAACTCTTCCGTAGTAACTGAAGTATACAGTGTAGTTAGGTTTGCTCGTCGCACATCGTTCAAAAGCATGGCGACGTTAACTACTGCACGTTGGCATATATGTCATAAATGAAATCTCAAAGTTCAAACAATATGTTGTGGTTGTGGTTATACTAATTTAGGTTATACGGAATAAATTTATTGAACATCATATAATGTTCCCTATCTTGATATATACATCTGTATTATAGTTAAGGTATTTGAACTGATATCTTTACAACGAGCAGAGTTAATATTACAACATTCAGATTAATACGCATACATACATGTGTAATGTTACTAGTTTTATAATTATAATGCGATTGAAACAATTGCCACAGTGTATACGATGTTGTAGTCATGGCGTGGTGCCTCACCATCTCGAAGTCAAGGAGGTGAGTTTGTCTGTCACTGACTGTCACTCAAGTCTTTGGGAAATAAATTGTGTAAGTTGTCTATTATAACGTGTATTATTGGAAACGAAAGTCAATGTAGTATATTGTGTTACTTGCGCTAACCTACGTGTATACGCTGGGTGATTGATAGTGAGCTACGCTAGACCACGTGAGGAACATTAGTATAGCTAAGTACTTTTCTATTGGTGGAAGTCGAACAGAAGAGGGCGGAGATCGTAATAGCCAATTTTCACATCTTTTGATTCTCGCCACGGGAATCCGTGCACAGTAAAACATTGTTATTGGAGCAAGTAGTGACTCAAATCATCGTTCGCGTGAAGGATTCGCACATGCTTCGGCGATACATTTATCATTCGGAACTTTAACATTGCGTTTTCTGGTCACCCTATATGGGTGACGGATATGACGTTTCTCTTCTAACTTTACTCAACTATCTCTGTGTTAATTGTTGCAGGACGTTATCTGTTTAGATAAAACATCGGTTGGAGGCAACTCTAGTCTCGTCTACCACTGTTGAGGTTTAGACGTCCCAGTGCCGGTTAAAACTACACGGGGTTCTGCGAGGACATCAACGTCATTCATCCAGATCTCCGCGTGTGTGTGCTGTGCACTGCCGCACTTGGACAGAAATCATGAGACACACACGAAGAATGATAAAATATTGGCTAGTGTTATCGTCACTACTTTTGCAAGAAATCACACGCACATATTCTGCGTCGTGCGAACCTATAGACATACCAATGTGCAAGACGATGGCATACAACAAAACTCGAATGCCCAACCTACTGCACCACAGCACACAAGAGAATGCCAAGCTAGCCATTGAACAATTCGAGCCACTGGTAAACACGAACTGCAGTGAATACTTGTTGTTCTTTTTATGTTCTATGTATGCGCCGATCTGTACTGTAGAATTTCAAACAGATGCCATACCACCGTGCAAAACTGTGTGCTTGAACGCTAAGAGAGGATGCGAACCAATAATGAACGAACACAATGTTGATTGGCCTGATTACTTGGCATGCGATGATTTACCGCTCTACGACCGGGGAGTGTGTATCTCACCCGAAGCTATCATCCAAGAGCCGCCCGACAGTAATGGTAAGTCAAATTTGAAAATAGATTTATTTGTTTATTTGCTTAAAATTTTATTCACGTATCGCTGTTTGAAAAGAATCACGCCCGGTTTTCCGGTTAAGACCATTATATACCCACCAATGAAAAGAATATTTGTTTAAGGGCAATAATTGTAAAGAATGTCGGTGCAATGCAGAGTTGATACTTAAGACGTTGTGCATGTTTCACCCTGTTAATGAGGAAATTTAAAGGTGACACATAACGACTATATATCAAAATCGAAATATTTGCTTGTCGCTCCGTAAGACAAGTACGTAACTCTCACACCAGGATTATCACAGAGACACACACGCACACAACCACGACTCTGGGATCTTGAAAGTGTAAGACAATACTTGGGGGATCATTTCCTTTCCACTCGACTGTTGTTATGGGGGTAAATATCTACTTAGGAAGCAAATCAGCTTTTCGAGTTCTCGTGTCAATTTTAAAACAAACACTTGAAGCGTGTTTTCATTCATTGCTGCATCGAATCGTTCTAATAACACCGTGTCGTGGACGGATAACCACGAGAACGATTCAAGGCATAATATCTTTGAAATTCCATTAGGACATATCATGTGAAGGTCTCTAATTTAATAATATATATGTCGACATGTATTCTTGTCAGCATATGCTTCAATGGTGCAGTTAAAGCTGTACATATATTTGTGAACCACCAAGTTACACTAAACTACTGGGCTTATACGTCCAACTTCTCTTAGCTTCGACAAAATGTCCCGCAATATAAATTATCAACCGCCAAATTAGGCCCGAGATGATTATCATTTTAATTAAATGTTATTAAAACATTATCAATTGTACCAAAAACAATCAATCACAGGTGCGAATACATTTAAATGCGACCACCGGCGAATCTAACACCCCACCTGTTCGTTGTCCGTGAGCATCTTTCAATAAATAGAAGGACCTAATAAGTGAACACTGCATTTCGTCACTGCGACATCTATTTCTTATGGCGGGTGTTTAAGAGGTTTAACATCCGGAGAAGGCGGGGCTCGCTTACGTGGGTGCCACACATCATATTTTCTATATGCTTTCCTAACATATACCACAATAATATATGACCGTACCCGAATAGCGGCATGGTCATATGGTCATATATTGCATTGTTTGTCAGCAAACTTTAAAGCAGGACTGGGAAAAATAGCTGAAGATTTGTGTATTGCAGTGACGAAATATTATTTCAGCTTGTGAATAGCTCCACGTGGAATGGTCATATAAACCCTGCTGGCTTGTTCACCATTCATTCATTCGTCAATCCACGAGTAATTCATTTTGATTTTCCACATGGCCTGCGTTTGTCACCGACATAATTGACGAAATAAAGATCTGTTGTCACACCTTGCCCTTAAAACTACTGTCCATCATTGACTGAATGGTTGCCTAGTCATCCTCTAATGACGTCACAATGATCTATGAAATCTAGAAACGTGATATGTATAACGAGCACCCTGTACTATCAGTCCTTTGAACTTTGACCCTCCCAGCACCAGACGCCAACACTTCACGCCACAAGATATAGACCAGTAGGGAATTATACATGCGGTTTCAAGGGGGAAAACGAACCCAGTTTATGAATACAAGGGAAGTTGAAAAGGTTATTTGAAGATATAATTCAAGTAGACGTGAAGTTAGCAAATAGTCTCTAATTTGATGGATATTGTACACATCCTGGGTCGGTAGATGCTTTAGAAATGTTAATATAAATTGCGTACATATTACAGAATTGGTAACTACTGTGTCTATATAATGTCTTAGACACACTTCCGCTGGTAATAGTATGAACAAAAATTAATAACTTGAATCAATAAGTTTTATGAAAGTTCTTGAAAATTGCAGATAGTAGGTTGTGAAAGTTTTCGTATTATTATATAAGGTCAACTGCGGTGGTAAAATTCGGATGAGGGGTTATTTTTTTGGTGAGAAACTAATATATTATTAAACTATATTATTAATACGTTGACTACTGGGTTAATATATAGAAATCTGGGGTGATAGACGGCTACACAGTTCATTCACGGACAATTCTGCCGTCCGTTCAGACTTGAAATAATGAATGTGTTGAAACCGGAACTACGTTTTAAAAAATAAAAAGTGGTCACAGACCTATTTGTATATATATGGCAAGTTCAATAGTCTGTGTAATGCCCATACATGGCTCGGGAAACTATGCGTCCACTTCGAAGCAAGGCACGTTCGGTACAAGTTTTCCAAAAAATCGTGTTTTACTTTTCCCACATGGCTCTCCGTGTAAACAAATGTAATGTGAACGAGAACATGTAATTTTTATATTACATTGTGATTTTTCATGACCCGAAGACGCTGTTTTTGTTCGATGAAACAATGAAAGTCTCTAATATACGCATGCGCGCTGGTTGTTTTGGTACGTACACTAACGTGGTTTTAATTTTTCAACCAACGAATATTGTTGTGTCTCATGCAAACGCAAAATGTTTAGTGTATGACTGATCATAATTCGTTTTAGACTACAGTATGAAGCATCAAACATCTAGTAGTCATGGTAAATTAATAATCACGTTTATCTCAAATATTTGGTGCGTGGTCCCAATTTGTTTCGGTATATAATTTATTAATTGGCAATATATTTACAAGGTATCTTCTATTTCTAAGACATAAAGTTGTTTTTTTTCCAAATTCAGACATAGTTCAGTGTTATAGTACTGGCGTATTCAATACTAAGTATGTGTTAACTTGTAAAATTGACAAATTAATAACATATTCATAATTCGAAATTGACAATTGATATTAACAACACACTTTACGGTAATTATTATATTATCTGCGTCATGGAACTTGTGCTATGGATTGATACAACTTTAAACTGCCTGGCGGGTACGTCTGGCGCCAACAGGGTTAAAAAATCAATATTTGAGAGGCGTCAACTGGGTTACTCCTTGACTATTAGGTTCAGGCGGTACCCTTTTAACTGTCTGGTCCTAGGGCTTCCGTGGATGATTTGTGTTACAATGCCAAACTCTGACTGAGCTAAATGATGCCAAAATCAGATCGAGGTTGTATATACTTCAGCGAAATGTGTTTCGTAAATCAAGTCGTCGATATAATGCAATAATATATCAATGGTATATTGACCACATGATTTATGTTTGGTATTTATTTTAAAGAATCGGATGGGAAAGAAGAGGAAAAGGAAGAAGAGGTCGATCGAGGAAACAAAGATAAAAATAAAGGTAAAAGAATTAGGCTTTTTATTTGGGTGACACTTTACAACATGCCGTATACTGTTATATATCCGGTAGTTTGAATAACGTTTTTACTGAGCTGATTGTATATGTTCCAGCCTACACAGTTTGCAACTATTTATACTTGTTAATATCAATGTCGCGTGGGCGATCACTGTCATATATATTATACGTAATATTTAGTCGTGATTTCAACAATCTGTGGCACAATTAATATGCATACGGCACCACAATGTTCAGGTACTGTTTATCATGTTATATTACGTTGTAAGTCCGTCTTCGGTCTCTTAAAAGATTCAATTAGGAGTAAAAGAGAGTATCGGAAATGGAAGGAAAATATGTTTTGTTTTGTTTTAGATTTATCTACATGAAAAGCCATCGAATGAAACACATGGAACCAGTGGCAATGACATTTTGTCAGTGTTTTATTTGTCAGTAATCGTTGATAGACGCATACACACTTTGCCCAAGACTTCTATAAAATATCTTTTATCTAGCATATTGTTTTTAGCTAATTTGTGATTTCGCTAGTCATTCTCACGATGAGATTTTTGGCACTAAATTAAGCTTCTGGTAATTTTGTGTTTTGAACCAAGTTCGGTAAAATGGCATATAGCTATTTGGATGTTGTTTGACAGTGGAGGAATACTTATGCTTAGTCCCGGGTAAGGCGAGTCACGGGATGTATGGTGCCATATTGTTTGTAAAACATAATACTTTGACATCCAAGGAGTGTATGTTTTTGCCATTGTCAAGGGTAAAAAAATATTGAATCGTTTTAACACACGCGTCTACACTGAACATTCACAACAAATCGAGTGACGGGGTAGGACTCCCGATGACAATTGAATCAAAAGTGTGGAGTCAAAAACATATTTTTTTTAAGGAGTGGTGTACGATTGTACGCCCGACTCTAACACATTTTCTCGAATAACCCCTCTCATTTTCGAGTGTGCTTAATGTCATGGTTTAACCATATATTCGCAGTACATCCAATTTTGCGAACTAAAACAGTTTAGATCCACTGATCACGTTCTTAGTAGAATGAGTTCACAGGTGAAGGCTGAACTTCTCATTCGTCAGAGCGGGTGGTAACACACACTGAGTTTACCTGTAGTTTTCATTGTTTCTCTGAATCGAAAAGGGGGTTATTGATTGGCTGACACAAACTCGTCCTCGACATCGACATAGATGTTAAATTCCAATTATTTCTATCGGCTTGATATACCGACAGTATTAAATGTCGAAATAATATGAAGGGAGTCGGTGTTTAGATTAAACTTTAAGATGTCGTATTCTTGTGGTGCTTTACCGTGACAATAACCACTTATCACGGCAGTGGCATACTGTTAGCACAGACGCCAGCCACAGTTAAAATGCAGAAGAATGTCCGCTATGCCCTTTTGACTCCGTTTAATTGAGCTAGAATAGCCTCGCGAAGAGTCTAGAAATTCCTAAGATTGAATAAGAAATCCCGCGTCAATAAAGAAGAATAGAAATCTAAATAACGCGGCATGAAGTCCTGAGAAGGCACGGAAAGAGTCCCGCCACTTGTCAACTCTATTTGTGAATAGAAATGGTGCTAGGTTCGTGAGTTGAAACCTTAGATGTTCTTGTAACGGGTGCTTCAAAATATGTTGTAATCACTAAATCAGCTGATTTGTTTGTGGTGATTGGTGAGTCAAATTATTGCTGTTGTTTCTTTATTAACGTCTTCACCAGACCAGGTCGGACCAACACGATTTTGTAACTGTAATGTAACTGGATATGACGTCCAAAAGGAATGGCTTTTCCTGTAATACGTGTAGGCACAGTCTTTAATGATAAGACACATTTTCAAACATTATTGGCCATCTTCACTGAGTTTGTGTTCCTTTTATGTGTTCATCAATCTGTCGGCGAAGCAAATAATCAGCATCCTAGTACAGGAGCGGCGGATGCATGAAGAATAGTGCATTGTACCTCGTTCACCTATCAACTGGAGCGATGTCTCAAAATAAAATGTTGAGTGGCCTGTCAAAATCATTGAATCATGGCTCGTAAAAATGTTATTTTGAGAAACTTTTATTTATACCACACACCACCTAAGTGTTATCGACTGTGTATTCAACAAGATTAAGTACGACAATCACATATCATGTATGAGTTTGAGCTAAGCCAGATGCCTCGCTTTGGCTCACGTTTGGCTGTGAAACGTAAATCGTTGGATTTCAACTTCGTTTTTGATCGACACTTATTTTGGCTTGATGTCTATCACTCAACTGATATGGGGTAGATTTGAAGAGACAATAAACAATTGTTCTAATAAATGTCAAGTTAAAACAAAATTTAAAATAATAAAATAGATATAACAAATAACCACTAGACAGATATAATTTTCGACATGTTTTTTATTGTGATCGTGTATATAACTACTAGTATATTCCACGCTCATGGATTACACTGATACGGTTAAAAAGTCATTAAAAGCTTGCATGCTTTTCCCATCCCATGCTTTCAGACAATTGTTCCAAACTAAGTTGTTTCTAACGACTGACACATTTACATTACCAATAATTTTAAAAAGTGTACCCAACGTTTTGAAAATTAGTGCAAGTGCAACAACACATAAAATGTAACTTGTAATGTTTGTTCATTTATTTTGCGCTACCTTTTAAAGCTGTTCTTTCCACCCAGGTTCTTCGGGTGTACTCATATTATTTGTAGGCAGAAGGCGCTGTACTGTGAATACAAAATAATATTACTCATTTCATATAAAATGAGTAGCGGTATAACTGAAACTATGAGTACTATCAGAAGCCGGACCATATCAAAGAAATTATTTAGATTAAGTTTATATTGGCCTGATATACACAGAACAAGACTGTAGCCTAAAATATAAAAATGATAATTTGTGTCAAAATTTGTGTCAAGTGAAAATTTTAGGATGAGATCGTGACGTTAGGATTACAGAGTAATGAAGTAATATCCGTGCATAGAATAACAAAAACGCATGGAAACACATATTTGCATTCATATAGTATTGTATGACGTCTCATTTCTCTAGTTGAAATGTCATACCCCTTTAAGACACTGGTTCTGCACAGGATCAGATCACACTGCATGGCTAAGTTGTCTGATTCAGTTGATAAATATCGAAATTTATTTTTAGCATTTAACGATCAGATGAAATTTCATCTCGAGGGGTGAATGAAGGTCGAGGAATGTTTAACGCGACACGTGGTGGGATTACTGGTTCTTTATTGTCGCTAATAAACCGGATATCACCGTTTCTATTGAACTAAACCACAGTCCAATTGTACTCGTCATCATATTTGAACAAGTGGTCAGATTTAGGAAACATTTAGAATTGTGTAAGAATTACCTTTCCGTATTATATAAGTGAACTCACTTTTTGAATATAACAAAAAATATAGCCTAGTAAACAGTACATGAACGGTGATAAACGTAAATTTATCCATGAAATGTCAGTTATTAATATGTTCAATATTATCGTGAAAATTAGTGCTTGTCTCAAAGTTGTATTGTGATATTAGGCGCAATGTAACATGCGAAATTATCAGATTTAGTGTAAAACGTTGCTAATTTGAGAGAATGTTGTGTACTAATTTATTCAAGTACCGCGTCGTCGCGTTAAGTATCGGACCAATGCGATACAAGCAAGAGAAATACACTTGTGCAGTCAAGTAACTACTGTATTGTATTTGTATGTGCAGTATGATGCATGGAACAGTCACATCAATGGTTTGCTTAAAAATTAAACAATACTCATATTTTATAAAAATTAGTGCATGGGATTTTTATAATTACATTCAATATTCATCGTGGTCAGGTATTATAAATTTAGAAATTAATAATGTTTGCGTTCAGTCTGTGCGTTTGTTTTCTGTCTTTATTGGCGAATCAATATAATTGTATTTATAAAATACTGTACTAGAATGTATATGTTTCTAGTTTTTCTGTTACTATCAGCTGTTTTTTTTCATGAGATAAGCTCATTATTGGGGATGCAGGTATCCTTGCAATTTTACATCATGCTTACACGATCACTCGTATGCTGTAGAGGCAGTGAGGTCGTGACCTAAGTCTGCCCTTTCGGTGTGTCAGAGATGTGATTCGGTTGGCTAGCGCTGAATCGTTACAACGAAATTAACCATACGTGAGAAAATGGCACGACTGTTATAAAAAGCCAATATCGGAGAATATAAAATGCACTCACTGCAAATGAATTGTTTTGTGGAATCCTCTTTTATTTCGAGACTGTGGACCCACGACAAATTTGAAATTTCAGTCTTATTTCACTCCAACCGACCGTTGCTGAAGTCCTCAAATAAAACGCTGTCGGCAAAATTTTAAAATGTATTAACTTACTTTATGAATATCGAATAACTTGGATAGATATGACAAATGCGGCACATTGCCACGCGGCGTACCATTGAACTGTATGAGGTAGCTTTGATCGGCGCGGCTGTACTCAGTGCAGATATGCACGATGCGATATATCATTGTGATCCACTCATTGTTTTTTTAACGGTACCGAACACGGAATAATTATAGTTCTGTATTCTAGTCACTGCTTTGACATGGTGCAGTCGTTATTTATAACGTACATGAATGTTACCTCTTTAACGAAGTTGACGGATGAATTTGGGCCATACGTGGTACAAATCGTAAAGGTTTTCATTTAGACTTCAGAGTAGCAATTTACATTGACGACCCATGTTACTGCCCACATAACGAACTAAAGCAGCGGTCTGCTTTGATAAGAGACGTTAAATTAAAAGCATGGAAGTTATTTCTTTGTATTAAAAGAGAGAGTGTGAGCGTTATTGTGTGAATGGAGGGGGTGTAGTTGTGTCAATGTGTCTACACCTGCCGATACGCGCATTTCGAACTCTGGCTACTTAAGGTTAAAGTTATTGCAAACAAGTGTACATATGCTCAAAATAAATGGTGAGAAAGTTTCCTGTTCCAAGATTGAATGAGCGCGAAGTCCTGAGGCATTATTTTAAATTAAATTTCACTAACTTAGTGCATTGTACCAAACCTGAACTATTGGGAGTCACCAACCTCGCTTGTTAATCAACACAATCTTAAGTTCGTTTTATTCATACTAAAACGTTGAATGTCCATTTGCACGCCCACTGTTTGAGAATTGTACCTCTAGCTTACCTCTGTAAATATCATAAAGGTTTTTGGTTTGTTATAGTTATGACAAATTTTATCGAATAGAATCCTATAATCGAGTTTAGAAGCGTCTCCAAAAAGGTCTTAACCTTGAATGATTACAATAATGATAATTCGTTTGATTTGTTGATTTGACAGCATGACTTTTTTCTCTTATATATAAGTGTAAACTAGCTTCAGTGCCCCAATATATGAACAAAATAGACGAAACTACGTAGCATACAGCGAATATTCATTTAGATTTGTCGAAACAAAATAATGGTCATTGTCGGCACTCTTTCAATACGATAATTCGTATTAAAAAGTCACTTTTATTGTTGCGTTTCTGTATCAAATATTTGTCAACTTATTAAGTCTAAATTCTAAATCACAATAGTACATACCCTACAGCAGCATAAGGCATAACTGTCAGGACTGGGCAGATGAGAAAAATGTACGTTTTGCGCTTGAGATTTTCGGGTTTGATTTGGCGTATATCAAATTACAACATGTTTGACATTGTTCGTTTTATATACTTCTATTTCGAATAAAAAGAACCACCAAACATCACCACACTAAAGGAAAATGTCAACCCTGAATGTACCAAAGTTAGTGAAAGTGTAGTTGTGGAAACGGGGATTGTACCCCGTGATGGTATTAACATGTCTACAACGTCAACTCGGAGCAATTCCAGCGGCAAGTTCCTGATATAGGAAGACAATAGACTATAGTATTTAGATTACCGCATGTAGAAATAGTAAGTTATAACATGACCAAAAGAGTAAGTAGTTGAAAACGTGGACTTTCAATTCAGAGAGTTGAAGTTGGTGGTGTTGTTTGTTCCTCAATCACTTTAGTAGTGTTTCACCAATAAATCTGAAGGACATTGGATACATAAAGCCAACATGCTGTGCACTTAATTACACATCATATTCTAACGCAGTTTAACAAAAAAGTTACAATTTTTCTATTTTTAGGTGGTGGCGTGTGCAAAAATTGTCGGAAGAAGGTTAAAGCAACCAGGAAGACATATGTGAAAAATAAATATGAATATGGTTAGTAAATCATAGTAAATAGTAAATCAGAGATGTTTTTAAATATGCATGATATACGGAGTTTGAGGCTTGCATCGTCCAATGCGATAAGCTACTAACTAGTATGTATATACATCGTTTGAGAGTTATTTGTTTACTAATTTGGTATTGTGTTTAAATTATTAGTGCAGCGCGTATTCAAATTTCGTGTGATGTATTTTATACGCGTTGTCTACGTCGCTATGGGAAGCATGTAGAACACGACGCGGTGCGACGACTGCCAGCCTTTAAGATACGAATATTCGTAATTTGATAAAGTCAAATAAAAAAATATAATGAACTGAAATGTAGTTATTCTAATGTGAAGAGTATCACATTATCAATACCAATAATGTGTTTTCGTATGTGTTGGTGTTTTTTTATTATTACTAATAAATAATGTAAGCATATATATTTAATTTGCAGAGAAAGCGTTAATGATACATTATATTGTTTTGTTTTTAAACTCAGCTATCCAAGCAGTTGTTCAATCGTTTCGCGCTGAGCGTCAAAATAACATGGTGGAAACAACGGTCAACGTAGAAAGTGTGATAAAGCAACCACCCAATCTAGAAATACCAACGGGGGAGGTAGGTCAACGTAGCAACATAGCAAATACGTGTCATAAACATCGGGTTTTAATGAAAATGTTTTATTCCCTGTGTATAGACCAAGTTTCCAACGAAACATTCTCAAGGTGTAGGTCATAAGGGAAAACAATTTCTGGCAATTCCGCACTACCGCATCAACATGCATGCCATTGAACCGCGTCTGTTCATACGCAAACAGCTTTGGGCATTGAATGAAGGAACGTAGGCTTCTGTTGCTAGTCTATAAATTATAGTAATTAATTGTGGATTATCTGCGACATTTCTTACACCGCTGTGTGTTCTCCCATGATTGTGTTAGCAAGGAGCAATAAGAAGGGAACTATGCGTAGTATTACAGTTACAAGGCTTCATTTGAAATAATCGAACAACCTTCTTAATTTTGTGCTGCATTTACTATTTTAATTCTGCTGAATTAAAAAATATGTATATGTGTTTGAATTATTATACTATTTGAGAATGCACCCCTATTACATTGTTCAGTGGAATACTACACAGTCCGTCTATCAGATTTGCACTCCACAGTTTGAACATGCAGTGGGTTTCATTTATTGGATTTTTAGAGCAATTCTAAAACCCACATGATGACTAAAACTAACCAGTAACCGAATGATAACAGTGCACAAACCGAAATCTATGTGTTGGGTAATTAGTCTCTATACACATGTACACGCTAAATTGCGTAATACTTAGAACCGTGCATGTTTTTTACTATGGACTGTATCTTCGATTTATTCTATGGCTTTGCAATTGCTAACGACGCTGAGTTGATTGAGATACGTGGCGCACTTGAAGTTGTCGCTAATGATTATATTAAAACAAACGAACTTCAGAAAGGGATACTGACACGATTAAGTCTAATTTACTTCGGCACACAATAGATTTTGTCTCCACTAATCGTGATTTTTGTAGTAACCCTGTCCAGACAATTATTGTTTTCCCTGCATTGGACCATTGTGCTTACGTATCTGTAAATCCAACCAGCATTTTGTAACTTTGTTTTATTATTTGCTTAGTCAACATAGGATACGGATACGTAGACGGATACACTGCTTTAATTAAAGTTGCGGTTTAAAACGCACATAGCTCTAAGTCACATAATGTTTACAATTTGTCACGATGTTGCTCGATAATTCTTCTTCAGCTGCCTGAAAGTCCACATTTGTTTTGAAAGTTGTTTAATTTTCGGCAGACTTACATGGGTATCAATTCTGCTAAATTGGACTGCTGTCCTTCGCATTCTCTTTTATAAACTTTGGCCCACTGACTCACAGTCTGCACATCTTGGCGTGACAGCAATTTATCTCGTGTCTATTTATTTTCTTGGTGGAGTTTAGTTCTAGCTAGAGTGGTGTCAGAGCCCCCTTCCCCCGCTGTGTATAATCTTAATATCATCACTCAGTTATCAAATATACCTCACATACTTTCATTTTTAGATTGCGTAGCATATGGCGAGCAGAAGAGCGATTACTGGCATGTTTTCACATCGTAAACACAACGCCATCCACCGCTGGGTACACGTTTACGTGTGTAATTATTTTATTTTTCTTACGAACTCGGTGTGTTTGCTTTATTAGCATTCGCGCTTGTGGAAACATTATGATTTGTATTAATGACTCAGAGATAAAATGTCTTTCCACATTCCTTGAAGCCAAATTCGGTAAGAATTATCGTTGGTTGACCGTACTAATAAAAGCCACGTGTGTTAAAAATGGCAGGTAAGGAATGATTCGCAGTGACGGTGTGCGGCGAATGGTGTCGTTGCCCATTAAATAATCAATTTATCTGGCCACATTCTTCTCCAGTTTTGAATTTTGAGTCATATCCGCTTGGCCGCTTGTCGTCTGTTCAAAACGTCGTCTGCGGTGTTATACCGCCCTACATCTTGAAAGTGACTGACTACTTCAGTACTTCTGCGCGGCGTGCATTACCTTATATTCCGGGATGTAGTCTGCTACACCGTTTTATCTCGAACATTCGCAGGGCGTAAAAAATGCCCTCACGAAAATGTTTATTGAGCTCATTCCTCCGTACGCATTTATAGTAACTTACTATAAGGGCGCTCACATTAATTCATTCTTGGTCTGATGGTTTTGCATAAACGTGCAAGTTGTTCAGTGCGGAAATAGCTGAAGATGTTGCTCTATTTTCTGTTATAAAAACAGTTTCATAACGATACTGAAAAAAATTCTCAACTCACGGGCTCCTATTTTGTATTTAAATTTGCTCACGTAGGCCCAACAAAGATTGTAAGTGACGTTTTCATAGCAGGAATTTCAGGTGAAAATACGAAACACGCACGTTATTTAATTGTCATTATTTGATTTTCCAGGTACACCTTTGGACCAACGCTTCTTGTGTATGTCCAGAACTGAAAGAAAACGAAGAGTACATGATATCTGGTCATGTTGACAGTGACAATAATAGATTGCTGTTCCTGCCATCAAGTCTAATGGAATCGTGGAAAAATAAATGGACCAAATCTATCACTGTAAGTCCGTTACTGTAACGATTATTATCGACAAAAACAAATAAAATAAATGTAACACTGCCGACATGTGTGGTGGGTAGTTTGACAACTGAACTTGTTTGTAGTTGATAATTAGCTTTTATTGACGTTACTGAATCATACTTGAACATGCCGACAATACATAGTCTACCCTAAAATTCCGAAATAGCTGCTTACAATAAATAAAGATTTCTCGCTCCTAAGGGATACTGCAAATGAAGTTTGCTTACTTGCATGTAGGCAATGTGACGAAAGTCACTGTTGGTGCGTTTTAATGTAGAAAATTCAAAATCACCATGACAACAAGCCGAATCAGCATGCACATGGTCAGCTCATTCGGTACCAGCATTCACATGTTATCTATCTATACTTCAAATACACTTTTTGTAACAGTTATTATATTTATCTCTTACAGAAATGGGAAAAAAAACTCGCGAAAAGCCAAGGTAAAGGGAAGCGACGCGGCTCGAGTGGAGGAAGACGCCGTAAATCCAGTGACACGCCGCCGCCAACGACTGCAGCGCCCGTGCCCGTTGAACAGCCACCTGAAACTGGTGGTGGTGGTGGTGGCGGTGGTGGCAGCAGTGGTAGCAGAAGGAATAAAAAACCTGCACAGAGAAGGTCAGGGAAAAATTAAATCAGAGTGTGCAGTAGAATAGTCTAGAGTGTGGACATAATTGTCGTTCTTAAAATAATGATAACAATTAAAATTATCAAAATAGTTTAATTTAACTGCTTTGATAAGTGTAAAAATAGTTATTGTAACGTAGAATAAAGCCTTCGTGTAATGTTTGCACCGTAGTATAAGTTAGTACGTAATTGCACTTGTGTAGAACATATTCAGTTTGCCTGTAACGCATGCGCACGGATGGACTGGCGACTTTAACACAGTCAGATCTCTCCTGACTTTAGTGTTCTGCCATTGTTTTCTTAGGCGATCAAAAAGGCGTGAATAATAGCCGAATACCGTTACAACTATCCCGCAGTATCATTTCTCAATATATATGTTTTTCTCGAAAAAAAGTCTTCTCTCGTTGTTACTGACTGGTCAAGCAGAAATTGGAAAAGATCGGAATCAAGAAAGCAGATGATAATATTGTACTGGAGAGTGTTTGTTATTATTATAATGAGCTGTTTATATACAGGGAATACATTTATTAAAATCCATATGTGTAGTCTGTTATACTTTCAATCTGTAAAGACAGTAATGTCTCTAAGCTTGTATGTGAATATTATTATATTATACTTACTTATTAATTAAAATGTGAAATAGTAGAAACAAAACTTTTCAAGATAAATTGTTCGCTGAATTCTGGTTCTTTAGAAAAAATAAAGAGTTGCATATTGAAACTCAGTAAATCTGGGGTTTATAAAACCGAGAATACCGATTTATATGATATTGCTTTTAAAAAAATAGTAATTTAATAGTACAATTTGAGTTTATTATTTGTTTACTGTAATCTTCTTATTACGTGCAATTTGTATAGTTTTTCACAATGTCTTAGTAAGAATTACGATCTGATATGATGACAAATTGATTGAATGGTGTATGAATGTAGTTGTCTATCGTGGAATTAGCTGACGTCATAACACATCTTGTAGATTGAATACTTTCCTTTTGTCTTATATATACGGATGGAATGAATTGTCTTACCTTATTTTGTTGTCGCCAGTACTAGTGCTACACACCGCCATAGCCATCTGCGTTGAATTACACGGCAATACTAGTATTTCAACTCCAGTTGGTGTATGTTTACATTTATCAGTTTGCTGTTTCTAAATTTAAAACCACTACATTTGTTTGCTATTGGTTCCCATGGAAACAATGGCTACTGTTTTCCGCATATCGTTAAACTATTCTCTGATGACCATTTTGATAACTTCTCAAAAACCTACAACCGAGGTTAAATAATTCAAAAACAAAGAAAGTAAAGTTTTGTAAATCCCTATTTATGTCTATAGCCACGTCAATCCTTACAGTGTACATGTTAGTATTTTTAGGAGTTTTCAACAACATTTCAATCCTTGGTAGTCTGTCAGTGTAATGTATTTCTTAGTGTCATTGCACACGAGTATTACACCACCATCGACAACTCAATTTAGTGGGAAACCACCGTTCTCAGTGTTACGTGTACTTTATTAAATATTGTAGTTAATTTCATCTTATATTAACTTTTTCGATTTATATATACTCAATATGGCGTGCGTGAGAAACGGACTCTGAAGCACGAACTTCAAAGTGGGGGTGATTACAAGATATGGAATCCTGACCTGCAATCACTCACAGTGAAGAAAATCACGGGGATAGATTGTTGATTCCAGGATATGTCCAGGTGTGTACATCGGGAGATGTACATTCAAGTTACGGTATTCATAAGCCATAAATATTTACTGCAGTTAATATTAGTGTCTTCCAAATTTATTGCATAATATCATCATGTATAAACATAGTATCACTGTTGTTGTTATTATTATACAATGTTCCATGGGACCATGTAAGTGTATATATTATATATTATTACTTATAATCTCCACGCAGTAACGCCAGTATCCTCGCACACCTATAGAATATAATCATAGCATAAGGACAGATGTCAAATGTCGGTGTTTTAATTTTGGGTGGAGGAGTTTGTCATACAAAAAAAAAACATTCTTATACATAAACGATTTTATTATTCGAAAAGAAGTTTCGGGAGTCATATTTTTTTTTCTGTGTATTAATGGCTCATTAGACAGTAACCAAATAATACTACGAATTCTTTTATTATCTGCCAATAACTGATACATGCAAACAGCCATTGTCCTAACGGCACTGTTGTCTTTAGTGTCTGACTGATATAATATAAAACCCCATGTGTAAATTTCCATCATTATTTTCTTTGCTATACTACACAATTTAATCAGCAATAATTATTCAAAATTATTCTTGTTTACATTTGTTGACACCAGCCAGTCAGAGTGCCTCGCTAAGTCCTCCAAAATGAAATTGAATTCAAATTATCGACATACTTCAGACTATATTTTCTGCGCGTGCGCACGGCGTATATTGGATTGTACAATTTGGTGACCATTATCATTAAAAAAAATAATAAAAAATAAATTCGCCCAAATTAAAAAAAAAAATGTGCAAAATATTGCACGATTGTGAAGCCCAGAATATACCCATTGAGGTTTGAGGAGGTGAGTAGGATTACGACAAAACTCGAAGAATTGAATTGTGAATCCCAGAATATACCCATTGAAGTTTGAGGGGGCGAATGAGGTTACGACAAAACTCGAAGAATTGAATTGTGAATCCCAGAATATACCCATTGAAGTTTGAGGGGGCAAATGGGGTTACGGCAAAACTTTAAGAATTGAATTGTGACTTAGTGGTACCAGAGGACGCTGTCTCGTTTACTTTTTTGTTTATCTCCATTATTTATTCATAATTTGTCTAATCAAACCATCTGTTATGCTGAAGCAAAGTCTGTTATGATGTGAAACGGTTCAGTAGAACCATGTTCTACGCAATATATGTTGGTCAATCACGGTTACTCATACCAAGGCTTAATTAATTAACTTATTTTAATAATCATTTTACCAGTCTAACGACTAGTGATTAATTCATTAAAAGCTACCTTTGAAAACATATTCTCTGTATGCATCAATTTCAACACTGTCTCTATTCGATAAACATTATAGTAAATAAATATTAAAGTTTTAATTAGAACGTGTCACACGATTGTTGTGTATGTAGGTGATGAGCTTATGAACGGGGAATATTAGTACTGCCTAAATTGTGTTACATTTAGGCGGGCCATGGTGCGATCTTTGAAGCCTAAAATCAACAATCACCATATTGTTTCAAATGATTAGACAATAACAACAACAAAAGTTATAGAAAAACAAAAATGTGCGCCAATGAGATGCCCCTTTCAAATCACACATTGGGGTGAACAGGCTGCTGACATTTAAGACATGCTATATTATATATTCATGGTATATAGAAAGCTGAATATTCCAGCTTATCCGAAAATGTAGTTATTTTGAGATGCCCCTGTCAAATCACACATTGAGGTGAACAAGCTGCTGACATTTAAGACATGCTATATTATATATTCATGGTATATAGAAAGCTGGATATTCCAGCTTATCCGAAAATGTAGTTATTTTTTTAATTGTTTTAATTGACTAGTGTTACTTACAACATTTATTTTATCTAAACTAAGAGCTGTTGCGGGTCGTTGTGTTGACTGTCACTGTGATATGAGAATCAATATTTTTTTGATTTATTGTATTCTTAAATTTCAGACTTTGTAAGCAGATGGAAAATGTGGTATTTGCGCTATTTTTTTGCACAAAATAGGTGTGTATGAAATCATATTCTGCAAACCTTGAAGCTCCTATCGGACAAATGTAAATCGCAGAAAACTGAATACTCATGGTGAATACAAAACCACCGCAAGAGGGCAACAGATAAATATATTTATCAATTCAGCTAATTTGTACTTTCGGATAAACTATTTGGTTAATAACACGGGTGATTTGATTCAATTTGTTTTATACAGAGAGAATTGAAGTAAACCTTGAACAGAAATAGTTATAATAAAGAAATACGCCGTGTTGTGATGTTTATCGTTATTAGTTGGTAATATAAACTTCGGTAACAGACAGTAGCAAGGGCCGGGAGTTTAGATTTCTTGGGATATGGCTTCATTCTCTATATTTTCCCACTAAATTATTTAATTAAACATATCGTGAGTATAAAAGAGTCAACTTTGAAAAAAATATATACCCGGTGAATATACAATATTCACGATTTCGTCATTAGAACGCTTAGTGGAAATTATATGCACTGGTACAATGTTTAAACTCTAATTTGTTTTATTTAGGAAACTGTGCACCATTGTGTCAACACAGGTGGCGCTATCGGTTGGTTTGTGGCGATCTGCGTGTCAATGAACTGCAATTGATGTATGCGCACGCTATATACCTCACGAATAGAACCTCACAGATACGACCTCACGAATAGGACTCAGGAAGTGACGTATTGATTGTTCAATGGCGTTGTGGCACATTATAATTTAACGTTGCCGGGCCCATTAGTATCAATATATTTGGTATTTCGTAAATAGAAACTGAGCTCGCGACGTGGACTCGGGTCGCACACAGTCGGACAGAGCAAGGGAGCAAGGGAGTGTTTGGTTATTGAATGACCCTTGGTTTGCGGTGCTACTATTCGATGACTCGCGATGTAACGGTCGGTACTGTGACTGATTCAAACGCCGTGTGCCGTTATATTCCTGGGCACAGAATGTGTTTTGAGGCCTTCGAGTTCCAGTTTATAATCTTCAACTTACCGGTAGTGATGTTTTCAACAATTAGATTTTTCGGTACTTTGTAGAAGTTGGTCATGGAGAGCGACACGTTTACTATAGAGTCCTGTAGGTCCTAGCGAAGTACTCTGATGACAACAAACAATAATAATAATAATAATAATAATAATAATAATAATAATAATAATAATAACTTTATTGCATCCTTAGAATTACAAATGTTCTATTGGTTTACAGCAATAAATATATAAGTGATTAAAAAAAAAAAAAAATCAAAGTACGATAACGTAAAAAATAGAAAAAAAAGAGTCAAGGTATT